TGTTTTTGTTTTTTTTGTTAACAGTTTATACTGAGGCGAGGCTAAAGATTTGATTCCTGCCATTTTTCCATCTCTAGGTTATTAAGTCATTGAAAATTCATTGTTTTCTATGACATATACAGTTATCGTATACATGACATATTCTTTCTATATATATATTACGTACGTTTGTATGTATATATTCGTGTATATATCTATGTGTGGGGTTGGTTGTATGTGTGTGCCATAGCTTGGTGGTAGAGATTAGAGGACATCCTGGTAAGAGTAGATTCTTCTCTTCTGTGTGGATCTTGGGAGTTAAACTCAGGTCGTCAGGCTTGGTCACGTACACCTAGTCATCTGTGCCATCCTACCAACCCAAATCCCAAATGACTGGTTTTTTGTGCTTTATTCTGTTGTGACATTTTGTGCTCTGGACGGAGGTTGGGGCACACACATGAGAGCACCCTGGGTTTGTTTTAGAGCTTATTGGAAAGTGATGTTGAAAGCACTGCTTCGTCTCCACGGGGAGTGAAGAGATCCAGACTGCGGCTGTCTTCTGAAGTGGCCGAGACAGATGAGGAGAGTGGCATGTTGTCAGAGGTAAACAGCATCAGACAAGAGAGACCTTACTCGCTAGATGAGCACTGGCTTTCTTATAAGTAGCTGGTCTGTCGGTGGAATTTTAGGTTGTCACTTTTTCAAAGTTTCTCAAGTGAATGAACAGTTAGAGATGACTGAGACCTAGTTATGGCAAAGAGGTTTTCTGAGTTCTCCTGTTTTATATGCCGTTTTTAACGCCAAATAGTGTTCTGTTTGCTTCATTGGAAATAAGATGATACCTAGTTAGATCTGTGTGTTGAAGTTGCCATTCATCTGTCTGCATCTAAAAAGAGAAAAATGGCCACATTAAGTGCATGTGGAAGACCTGCCTTTTCCTCTCCCTCCTCTCTTCCTAACACAGTGTCCTTTTTAAATCAGGTTGAAAAAGTTGCCACCCCTGCGCTCAGGCACATCAGTGCTGAGGTCGTGCCCATGGGGCCTCCACCTCCTCCAAAACCAAAGCAGACCAGAGATAGTACTTTCATGGAGAAGCTAGATGCAGTGGAGGAGGAGCTGGCATCTAGTCCTGTCTGCATGGACTCTTTCCAGGTAAGCATCACTGTTGAGTTGCTGACAGAATAACTTAGGGTTATTTACTTTCTGCTCAGAGAAGCTAGTGGGGCTGACAGGAAGAGTAGTTTCTAAAGTGGGTGTCCTGCTATTGTTTGGCTTTGATTCTCTTGCTTTGTGATGTTTTTCTCAAGTAAAAATGCAGTTCTTTTGTTGTTGTTGTTGTTATTAATTATTTTGTTTTTTGAGAGATCACCCGCCTCTATCTCCCAAGTGCTGGGATTAAGGACACCCAGGCTGGCCTTTTCTTTTTTTCTTTGTTTTTTTTTTAAAGACAGGGTTGTAGTACATAGTCTTTGAAGGAAGGCTTGGGACTTGATATATAGACCAGTTGGCCTTAAACATAAGGTGGTCCACCCTCCTAAGCTTCCTCGAATGCTGGGATAACAGGTATACACCACCATGCCTGAGAATGACAGCTTTTGAGAAAGGAGTAAACTGTGGGACAGTATTTAAAATTGGCAAGGTAAGCTGGGCACAGTGGTAGATGCCTTTAATTTTAGCACTAAAAACAAAATCTTTTTAAAAAGGTAATAAGAAGACATACTTAGAATATTTGAAAATATTTACATTTTTGATAAGAGATTTACAACTACAGTCAATTTAAAAAACTTAGAATTCTGCGGCTGTAGAAATGGCTCAGTGATTAAGAACATTGATGCCAGGACTGGTGGTGGTGCACCCCTTTAGCTCTGAGTTCAGGGCCAGCCTGATCTACGGAGTGAGTTCCAGGACAGCCAGGGCTACACAGAGAAACCCTGTCTCAGAGAACAAAACAAAATAAAAAACCAAAACCCTCCAAACAAACAGGAACACTGGCTGCTCTTACAAAGGATTCAGGCACATTTAGCTCCCAACTGCCTACAACTCTAATTCAGGGGATCACACACCCTCTTTTGTACTTTGTGGACAGTGCAAACAGATGGTGTATTCAGGCTAAAATACCTATATGTATAAAATAGAAATAGATAAATTGAAGGCTAACAGAAAGCATCACCAAGTAAACATTATTTGGTAACAAAGCCTGACAATCTGATTTAATTTCCTAGAACCCTCATGCTCTTGAACACACACACACACACACACACACACACACACACACACACACCACAGAGAGAGAGAGAGAGAGAGACAGAGAGAGAGAGAGAGACAGACAGAGAGAGACAGAGACATAGAGAGAGACACAGAGACAGAGAGAGACAGAGACAGGATGAATAGATTTGAAAAAAAAAATCCTTGCTGGGCATGGTGGCACATGCTTTTAATCCCAGTACTGGAAAGGCAAAGGCAGTTAGATCTTTGTGTGTTTGAGGCCAGCCTAGCTTGTATAGTGAATTCCAGGCTAGCCAAGGCTACGTGGTAAAAGCCTGTATCAAAAAACTAAAAAGCAAACAATTCCTAAAAACTTTAACACTGTAGTAGCAATACCTGACATCCACTTAGGGATGTAGGTGCTAAGGAAACAGCTGAAGACCAGCCTGGGCTCAGCCTATGACTCAAAACCAAGTGAAGGATACATAGAAAAATTTACATTTGATATTTTGTACTTAAGAGACCTTAAAGACTTAATCTGAAAACTCTTAGACCTAACAAGCATATTCAGCAAAATTACAGCATACATCTACGTATGTATGTATGTATGTATGTATGTATGTATGTATTTATTTATTTATTTATTTTCATTGCTGACTGACTGATTGATTGACTGATTGATTGATTGAGATGGTATCATTCTCTAGCTGGGAACTTACCACAATCATGCCACCATACCCACCTTTTTTTTCTTTGTTCTGAGAGCCCATTGGTTCTTGTGGAACTAGAGTCACAGGCAGTTGTGAGCTACTTGTGGCTATGAACCAAGCCAGGGCCTTTCAACCACAGAACCATCTCTGTGTCCCTCCCTTTCTTTTTGTACTGGAAATGGAATGCTGGTCCTCATGCTTGTGCAGCAAGTGCATTCCTGAACAATCTCCCCAGACGAGCATACAGAATTACCATACACAGAGCAAAGCCCTCTGTTTGTACCAGAGATTAGCATGCTGAGCAAGAGATCAGAAAGAATCCCATTTATAGTTGCTTGGGTAGTGTGGGCTTGGATTTACCTCAACAAGGAAGTGCCTTCACAGTGAGAACTTAAGACATCAGAGAAACAAATTAAGAAATCACAAGATGACTCTCGTAGACTGGAAGGATTAATGCTGTGAGAGAACATCTTACTAGTGCAGTGTGCACATTACATACAGTCCAGTCCAAAGTCCAGTGCCTTCTTCACAAAGAGAGAAAAATGCTAAAATCTGTATGAGGGGTGGAGAGAATGCTCAGTAGTAAAGAGAGCTTTTTGCATGGTCATGAGGACCTCAAATCAGAGCCCAGCACCCATGTCCCTGTGAGCAGTCTGGCTTGGCTTAGTGTGTGTCTATAACCCCAGCACTACAAGAAGGGGAACAGAAAGAGCACTGAGATTTGCAGCCTCTAAGCCTAAATAGAAAAAAAGAGTGTCTTAGAATCTCAGCAAGGAGCTGGGCAGTGGTGGCGCACACCTTTAATCCCAGCACTTGGGAGGCAGAGGCAGGCAGATTTCTGAGTTTGAGGCCAGCCTGGTCTACAGAGTGAGTTCCAGGACAGCCAGAGCTATACAGAGAAAGCCTGTCTCGAAAAACCAAAAAAAAAAAAAAAAAAAAGAAAAGAAAAGAATCTCAGCAAGGCAATAACCAGTTCAAGACCAACTTGGGCTTAAAGTAACAGCAACAACACCACAAAACAAATGGAAACCACTAAATATAGCAGAAAACAAAGCATACAAATGTTTATAGCAACCAAATTCTTTTTTTTTAATGACAGCATTTTTCTGTGTAGCCTTGGCTGTGTTGGTACTCATTCTGTAGACAAGACTGTCCTTGAACCCACAGAGATCCACCTGACTCTTGGACTGACACTACCTGGCAAGCAACAGAATTCTTAGATTTTTGGTTGTGAGCCTAGCCTTTAACAGCTGAGCCATCCCTCCAGCCCACAAGAGTTCTCAGTAGTCCTAACCAGAGATGCACTCTCTCTGTCTAGGATCTGGTAAATGAGCAGATGAAATATGGTGTCACAAGGTGCAGCACTCACGGGCACTGGACAGATGGATGACCTTTGAACTCAATATGTAGATTGCAAGCACTCTGAACAGGCTATGTGTACATTGTATAATTCCTTTATGTGTACATAAAGTCTCCAGTAAGTAGGCGACATGCAGACAGACGCTAGATGAGTAGTTAGTGTGAATTGGGATGAACTGGAAATGAGTTGACCACCGTGAGCATGGGATCTTTTGAGGATATTAGAGGTGTTGCAGAATTGATTATGTTACATCATTTTGTGAGTATTAAAATCCACTCAATTATACCCTTTAAAAGTGTGGGTCGACAGCATTTGGGAGGCAGAGGCAGGCGGATTTCTGAGTTTGAGGCCAGCCTGGTCTACAGAGTGAGTTCCAGGACAGCCAGGGCTACACAGAGAAACCCTGTCTCGAAAAAAAAAAAAAAAAGTGTGGGTCAATTTTATGTTGCATAAATTATATATCTCAAAGCACCTATAAATGTTCTTGAAAATGTATATTTTAAAACTGATGACTGGATTGGATTGGAGAGATGGCTCAGGAGTTAAAACAGTACTGGCTGCTCTTTGTAGAGGACCGGGTTTGGTTCCCAGCACCACATTGTTGCTTATAACCATTTGTAACTTCAATTTCAGGATGTCCAACTTCTTCTTCTTCAGGTATTGAACACATGTAGTGCACATGCATACATGCAGGCAACACACACACACACTTATGAAATAAAAAATAAATTTGAAAAAAAAATAGCATACTTACTGGAGGAGAGATGTCATGATCAGGTGATCAGGAAAATGGTTTTCCCAGGGGAAGGCTCACCCATCGCACTCTGGATGTGCTGACCCTGCGATTTCCCCAAATTCGGGAAACTCCAGTGCATAATTTGTGGTAGTGAAGGATTGCTTTTATGATTTTCCCTTAAATATTTAATAAAAAGAAAAAATATTTCAGACAACCTAAACTACAGGAAGTAAAAAGGAGATTCAGAAGAAAGTAAATCCACATTGTTGTGGCTTTTTTGTTTGTTTACATTTTTATTTGTGGAGACAGGGTCTCACTATACAGGCCTGGATGGCCTGGAACTTACTTTGTAGACCAGCCTGGCCTGGAACTCACAGAGCTCTGCCTCCCATGCACTGGGATCAAAAGCACGGGCCACCATACCTAGCCAGGAAGACAGTAAACCTGCACTGTGTTGAGGAGAGAGGTACTGGTAGGATGCATTGCAGAGGGTGCAGTTTGGAGAATTATTATTATTAGTGTTATTTTCACATCCTGGATGCTTTTTCTTTCTACTTTGCCCAGCCCATGGAGGACAGTCTCATTGCATTCCGAACACGTTCTAAGATGCCACTGAAAGATGTTCCTCTGGGCCAGCTAGAGGCTGAGCTTCAGGCCCCAGACATCACTCCGGATATGTACGACCCAAATACAGCCGATGATGAGGACTGGAAGCTGTGGCTGGGGGGCCTCCTAAACGATGACGTGGAGAACGAGGGTGAGTGATTTTTGTGTGCAGTTGTCATCTACTCTACTCTGTGTGTGTGTGTGTGTGTGTGTGTGTGTGTGTGTGAGAGAGAGAGAGAGAGAGAGAGAGAGAGAGAGAGAGAGAGAGAGAGAGAGAGAGTGTGTTGTGGATCGATGTGTGTTATGGCCTCTTTGTGGGTACTAGGAATCAAGCCTGCTTCATCTGAGAGTAACAAATGGCTTAACAGCTAAGCCTGGAAGTGCAGCCTGGAATCTTACAAATTATATTGCTGCTGTAGTGGCACATATTATTAATCCCAAAGCTTGAGATGCAGAAGCAAGTGGAACTCATTGTGAGTTCAAGACCATCCTGGTCTACATAGTGAGTTCTAGGCTAGCCTAGGCTACATAGTGAGAACCTATTTTTTTTTTTAATTAAGTAAAAAAGAATATTATAGAATTTGCTATGTAGATCTGGGTGCCTTTGAATTCACAGAGGCATCCTGTCTTAAAAACAAAAACAAAAACAAAACAGAAAAATATCAAACAAAGAAAAAAGATCACAGATCAGCTTGCAGAAATTCATTTTCTCCTACCATCCAGGCCCTAAGGATTGAGCTCAGGCTGCCTAGTAGCTTGGCAGCAAGCCCCCTACCTGGTGAGCTATATAGCTGCCCTCCGTTACATTTATTATTAGTTATATGTGTGTCTGTGTCACAGAGTCAGATCCCCTGGAGCTGAGGTGACTGAGCTTTCTGATGTGGGTGCTGGAAGGTGAACCCCAGTCCTCTGCTACAGCAGTAAACACTCTTAACAGCGAAACCACCTCTCCAGCCCCAAGTGTAGTCCTATCTGGCCAGGGACTTGCTCTATAGACCAGGCTAACCTCAAACTTACATAAAACCACCTGCCTTTGTCTTCCAGGCTCTGGATTAAAGGTGTGTACCACCAAAGCAGGTTTTTTTGCTTTTTAAATTGCTTTTTAATTTTGAAATTTATTTTGAATCAGGGTCTCATGTAGCAGAAGCTTAAAACCACCACATTTGGTTTTAAGCAGTATTGAGAATTGAACTCTGGGTTTTATACACGGTGTCTATCAGTGAGCTCTGTTGTATTCTTCTGTGCTGTAGACCAAGCTGGCCTTGAACTTGAGATCCACCTGACTCTGCCTCCCAAGTTCTGGGATTAATGGTGTGTGCCACCATGTCCAGCCGTTAATTTCTTTCCAAATAGTCTCTGTGTATTTAATTTAAGCAAATAGTTGTCTCCTATAAGAATGTTTTTTCCATTAGGCCAGGACACATGTTCAATTCCAGCATTCTGGAGGTTGGGGCAGGTAAATCTCTGAATTTGAGGTCAGCCTGGGCTATAGAGCAACTTTCAGGACAGCCAGGTTTCCACAGAGAAGCCTTGTCTAAAACAAACAAACAAACAAACAAACAAACGAATGTTTTTTCCACAGAAGAATTTTATTATACATATTTTTATGTATGTTTGAGTTGCTTCTTTTACTTAATCATACAATTTAGATATTCTTTCATAGCATATAACCCATACATTTCCCTTTCTTTTGTCTTTTTGAGACAATGTTTCACTATGTAGTCCTGGTGGCCTGGAATCCCTTATGCTAACAGGCTTCTTCTGTCTCTGCCTTCCATGTGCTAGAGTTAAAGGCATGACCTACCATTTCTGGCTTGGCTTGGCTTGGCTTGGCTTCTTTCCTTCCTTCCTTCCTTCCTTCCTTCCTTCCTTCCTTCCTTCCTTCCTTCCTTCCTTCTTCCTCCTCTTCCTTTTCTTCCTCTTCTTCATCTTTTTCTTCCTCCTCCTTCTCCTCCTGCTCCTTCTTCAATGGATACAACATAGTAAGGAATATATTGGTGATTTTTTTTCCTTCTAGTATTTCAGCCACATTTTAGGTTCTCAATAATAGCATTTAACTGATGTTGATGCTTTTTTTGTACTGGTAGTGATTCTGTATATGATACTCTACTTTTGCCGTGACTGTACTGAATATTAGTGGGTTGGTTATATGTTTGCCCGTATACCTTTTTTGTCATGCTGTGACATAATAAATATCCATAATTAATATCTTGTGTTTATGTGTGGAGTTGGAGTCAAACCCAGGGTTTTGTATTTGCTAGGAAAATGCTGTGCATTCTCAGCCCCAGATGTCATAGTTTCTGGATTTGAGCAGGCACAGCAAGACACCCTTGAACACAGCCACTTTCTGTAGAAAGAGAACAGTTTTAATTAGGGGGAAAAAAAAGACAAAACAACCCCAGTGGGATGCCTTTAAGGATAGTAAAGGACAGTGCCCAGCTGCAATAGCTTATTGGGTTTTATTGGCGGGGGGCACATCTCGCCTCTAGAACAACCTGAGGCTCTGTCAGACAGGATGTGCTGGCAGTCCTGTCAGAGTGCTCAGTGCTGATTAAGGGCTTCTGAGAAATGCTTCAGGTTTCTGTTTCCTAGCAACACTGAGCTCAGGTTTGATTCAGACTATTGCTATCAGGGCTGCCATTCAGGAAGCTGTTTTGCAGTCCTAACACAGAGTTCTGCCCTAATGGCTGGGAATTGTCTCATCCTCCTCTCACTATATCATTGCACAGATAGCCTTTCCATAAAACGTAGGTTTGGGGCCAGGAGAGGGCTCTGTGAGGAAAGGCACTTGTTGCATCATGACATCCCGAGTGCCATCTCCAGAACATGCTTGTGCTGCTTGTCCACTGATCTTCACAGATGTGTGTCATGCCATGTTAGCACCCCACACATACATGTACTCACACAATAAATAAAATTTGAAAAGAAGAAATTTAAAAAGACTGGGCAGTGGTGGCGCACGCCTTTAATCCCAGCACTTGGGAGGCAGAGGCAAGCAGATTTCTGAGTTCGAGGCCAGCCTGGTCTACAGAGTGAGTTCTAGGACAGCCAGGGCTACACAGAGAAACCCTGTCTCGAAAAACCAAAAAAGGAAAAAAAAAAAGAAAGAAAGAAAGAAAGAAAAGGAAAGAAATTTAAAAAGTATTATTTTTGTGAGACACACTGCACAAATGTGACTCCCAACATGAGTCATACAGGTAGACTTTCCTGTCTTGCTCCTTACTGAGACTGAATGCTGTTTGGAGGAGAGAAGGAGGGAGCCTGGCTCAGAGGAGAAAGTGGGTGCAACAAGTCAGTTGTGGAAAGTGATGCACAGGAAGTGTTGGGGGTGGGAAATGTTACCTAAGAAGCAGGGAAGCTGAGGTGGTCCTGACATGTGTCCGCCATCTTAGCACTTGGGAGGCTAAGTCGTAGAACCATAGTCTTGAGTCTTGCCAGGGCTACATAATATCTAGATCAGCTTAAGGAACTTAGTGTGACCTTGTTTCAAAGAAAAGAAAGACACAAGTCAGTGAGATGGCCCAGTGTGTAATGGTGATTGCTGCCAAGCCCAGTGTTCAGAGTTCCATCCCCAGGGCCCATGTAGTAGTAGAAGAGAATCACCTCCTACAAGTTGTTCACTGAGCCCCACTTGCAGTTTCTGTTTTATCGCTGTGAAGGGACACCATGAAGCATTTAATTGAGCTCTTGTTCACAGTTGTAGACTGTGGGTTGGTGACCATTGTGTCAGAGGATGGTAGTAGTCAGTGGGCATGGCACTGGAGCAGTAGCTGAGAGTTTAGATCTTATCGGAAAGTTGGAGGGAGTGGGAGAATGGGCCTGTGGTGAGGTTTTGAAATCTTAAAGCCCTCCTTCCCTGCCCTCAATGACACACTTCCTCCAAGGAGGCCACAGTTCCTAATCTTTCTCCAAACCAACTAGGAACCAAACATTCAAATATATGAGGTTATGAGGGCCTTTCACATTCAAACTACCATATACACCAAGGCTTCTAGACATACATATACATAAATAAGTACAATAAAATAAAAAATATTATATATGCTTTGTTGAAAGATTCTATATATATATTTTTACAGGTAAATGTTCAGAGTTAGGGTCTGGGCATGGTGGTACAGTGCTACATGACCATAATCCCTGAATTTAGGAAGAAAAAGAAGGGTAGCCTGGTCTACATAGTAAGCCCTAGTTTATCTAGGGGTACCCAGTGAGAGCCTATCTCAAAAAAATCAAAGGGAGACACAGAGAGAGAGGGGGGGAGAGAGACAGAGAAAGAGACACAGAGAGAGACACAGAGAGAGAAAGAGACAAGGAGAGACAGAGACACAGAGAAACCTTCCTGGGGTTAAAAGTCAGAGTGTGGGGCAAGTGAGCCATCAGGCCTAGAGTAAGAGTGAGGTCCAAATGTGTTCAAACCCCAGAAATCTCATCTTGAGACAGGCAGGAGTGAGGATCAATCTCTCCCTGTATAGGGGCTGCATGCTCCGGTGCACATATGCTTGTGACCCCCACCTTGAGGTAGTCACATAGCCTAGTGGCCAGATCACAGGTTTAACTTCCTCTTTCCCTGTAAG